ATTATTGAGAAAAAATGAGGTAATGTGGTTTGGCAGGTAACTATTTAAAATTGCTCTACAAAAATGTAGGACTTAGGGCACGATGCCGTCGAACAAAATTCTTAACCTCTGTTCTATGGCTATATCTTCTGGAGGGACGTGAATATCTTGTAATGATTGAATAACTTATTTTTTTTTTTTTTTTAATTCATAGAATTAAAATTTGTGGTAGGAAATGGCTATATATGTATATCAGTCGCCGACTGAAGCAACGCGTGAAGACGGTAGGCAATATAAACCGTAATCAAGGTATCTTTTATATCTATAGTCATCGATTTTTATTGGATAAATGCTATAATTATCGGTCCAGCAAGAGTGTTTATGCCATTAAAATTGCAGAATGCACTTTCGGCACTTTCATTCTAAATAAGTATAAATTCAATGTACATGACTAATACTTTTCTAAACGCAAACAAAATAAGGACAGCATAAAGTGTTAGTAAGTAACTAACAACAAAATCCCTTTTATATCACAGAATTAGCCGACTTGCTTCAGTTGCTTTTTCGAAAAGAGGAGAATGAGAGCTCTTTAGCCAGAGAAACATTTTCTTGGCTTTCCCAAATTGAGCCAACTTTGTCAGCTCTTTTAGAAAAATTTTCGCCGGGTTCGACCGAAATCGCTCCTAAGGCATCGAATATACAAATTACATACATAATTGAAATACTGTACAGCCAGTTGACATGTCGTATGAGTGATATTATTTTATCATGCTTTGACCCCTCGTCGTTGTAGTAGGCATCCTAGCCAGGCAACTGGTACATACATACAAATGTGGTTTCGATGCCGTTAATTACGTATACGACCTATCAATCATATATGCATTAAAATACGTGTGGTGGCTAACTGAGCGCCAAGATGGGCGCTCTTATAAATACATTAATCCGCAGACGCAAGAAGATATGTACAAATTTAACATTGGCTCTTTAGTTACTGGGTTAATTATCTGAGAATTTCGCTCGATAATCGACTTTGTTTGAAATTCAGTGGTAAAAAAAAAAAAAAATTTGAAAATATGTATTTTGTGCCTAGTAAATTGTTGTTGGACTTTTTTATTTTAATTTTACACAAAGGCTGCTCGTTTTTAGAGAGTTTCTTTTAAGGTTTTTTCTTAAATTCTGTATTTTTTTATTAAAATTTGTTTCACAAAAGTTTACGGTATTTTATTTGATAGTTATATTAAAAAAATTTTTTTACAAACCGGTTTTTATATAAGACCTTTTTTTTAAATGTATTTTTGTTTTGATTGCTATAGTTTTTGACAATTTTATTTAAAAATGTTTTGTTTTTGCTTAAAGAAGTACCAGAGAAAAATTGTATTCGATTGTTTTTTTTTGAAACTTTTTGGATATTTTTTAAACGACTTCAAAAATTCTACACTTTTGAAGTTTTGTTAAAAAATGTGTGATATTTTTTGAGCTCTTTAAATTTGGATCTTGTTGTAAAAACCGGTTTATTATAAAATCTTCCTTAAATTGATTGTTATATTTTTAGAAAATTTGATAAAAAAAATTTATGCTTTTGCTTAAAGAAGTACCAGAGAAATATCGAGCCCTAACCGCCAAAAAGTCGTAAGCGACATTTTTTTCAAAATTTTCTTTTTGATGCAGAAATGTTCCTAGAGCATCTAAATACATTTCTGCATTAAAAATAAAATGTTGAAAACAAATGTCGCTTACGTCTTTGTGGCGGTTAGGGCTCGATATCATATTCGATATTTTGTTATTTAAAATTTGTTTGTCAACATTTTTCAGCGAGTATTTTTAGTTTTTTTATGACGTTTTGAATGAAAAGGATTTCAAAAGTCTATATGTCTTAGTAAACGTTCCCGGGAAGTGGTTTTGATAACATTTTCCACAAAAATACTAAGATACTACAAGTTACATCAGGACAAGCTGAAACTGCTTTGATCAGCTGTGCTATCTTAATTCGAGGTTAATAGAGTAGTCTTGTGGAATGATCATCGCTACCGATGCTTCCAAAAAATGCCGATCAAAATAATAATAAACTCAAAAGGTAGACTTAGTTTCAGGTGCAATGAGAACATACATATTTGCGGCTATATGGTTAGGCGCTCCTAAGCTGAACTTTTTTGACTAAAAACGTCCAAGTAGCAGGTGCCTGCTTTTGCCAATTTCCAGCTATACATTTTATAAAAAAATGCTCCGTACAGGCATTATGGAGAAAATGCTAGGGTTGGAAAGATGCAGACTTTATGATTCCATGAGTAGCTGGGTTTCTTGGTAATGCATTCTTTAGTAGTTATGCAATGTGAATTAGGGCTGGAATTCCTGCCAGATAAATATTGTTACATTTGAAGTACTTTCGAGCCAACTAAAGCAAGGACTTCGTTTAACGGGGTGATTTTTAGTACTTTTTATTTTTTGAGAAAGCAGCAGAGAATCTGATTTAGTGACGTGTTTTTTTGTTTTTTAATTAGCTAACTACGTACAATATTGCTTGGTGAGGAGGAAGCGCCAAATAGATTTCAATGCTGTAAAAAGTCGAAACAATATGCTAAGGTATGTTTTTTTTTGTTATTCTAACCAAGGACCTAGAAGAAAACAAATGATTGAAGCTTAATGTTGTTCTCGTAGTTTTTTCCCAAGAACGCCTAAAACTCAAACCAAAATGAGAACAAAACCTTCGGTAGTGTTTTCACATGAACGAAAGTGAGAACAAAACTCTCGAGCACGTTCTCAAAGGGGAATTATTTAAGAACAACACCCCGTGTGGAACATTCCCTAAGAGAACAAAATGCGAACAATGCGGAACATTTTTAAGAGAACGAAATGGGAGCAAATGGGAAGAGAGAAAACCAAGAACAAAAGTCTAAGGAACTTTCTCTCGAAGAACAATTTGGGAACTAAAGCCTCACGAATTTTCTGACAGAGAACGAAACGGGAACAAATCTTCTGTGAACTTGTCGCGAAGAATGGAAGCAAGAACAAATTTTTTCTCATAGCGCCCCATTACTTTGAAATGTTTCAATATTTAAATTAATCAAATAAGGACTGAAAAATAAGTATATAAATTAGGTCAACGAAAGACTTAAGGCACAACTTTTCTTCCACAGAAAATAAAACAAATGTATCATAAATAGGCGGTTCACCCTAATGATAAACGATCCAGAAGTTGAAATGATCCAGATTTTTATCTGGCTTAGAATTAACAATCATGGTTCTCAATTAAAAAATTTTTCATGCTAACACGCAGACGCTTCTCTCATTCTTAACTTTAAGTTCTCAAAACTTGTCTTCCCGTTTGTTCTCTAGTAAAACGTTCTTATTTGATCCTCCTTGAAAACGTTCTCGATGCATACGTTCTCATTTTGTACTCATTGGAAATGTTACCGAAAGTTTCGTTCGCATGTTGTTCTTATCACTTTTGTTCCCATTTGGTTCTTTTGTAGGAACGTTCTTGACATTACGTTTTCTTCTCATGCAGAACTAAACCAAAACCGGAACGTATTTTCGGTGCCTAGTTGTAACACGTAACTGTGCTTTAATTTTCATATTTCTATTTCACAACTCCCTTTTTTCGGTCAAAAAATGGCATCCAATTCTGCTTAGCACCAGCATTTAATTTTGTCAGCCAAGTTTTTCGGCTGCGACCCAATTTTTATTTTTATTTCTTTTTTGTAGCTGCTCCCGTTTTCAACTTATACAACTACTATAATCATTACTGTAATCATGCGAGTTTGACCGCATTGAAATTTTACTTTCGTCAGTTGGTTGGTAATTTTTGGTTGTTGTTTTTTTCTCGATTATTTGCTTCAAATTTACCGCGCACTCCAACCTTTTATTTTCGTTTTGACGCCACACTTGCAGCATACATACAACTATGTACATATGTACATATTGGACACCGGCGATTGTTGATCGTTATCGGCTGGTTAAACCGCAATCAACAACACAACAGGTTACCTTAGCCGCCGCCGACGACGAACAAAGTGCAACGGTATGTATTGGGTATTGGGGTTGCAAATTGATTTTTATTTATTTTTAACTTAGCGAAAAAGTGTCGAAATGCGCAGAAGAAGAAGAAGAAGGTATGTAAAACCCGTAAGCTCATAGGTGAGAAAAGTGACGGAAAAAAACTTGCTGGCAACAATGAAAAATTTCGATTTCTGCTGCAATCTTGAAACCGGTATTTATGATAAATATTTCTACGTGTTTTTTGCTTAAGAAAAACGTAAGAAAAGTGTTGTTGTTATGTCTGTGTCAACAATCGCCTATTGCCTAGCCATGCTTGGCTGCTGCTGCTGGATTTGTTGGCTCACATTTCGATTACAAGTAATTTTACATATCTACGCAAATAGGTATGTTTGTATCGGCTAAATATTATAATCTCTTAAGCTGTATAGCTGCTCAAGACCACGCCAATCGCTAATCGCCTTTATTTTCTTACACCTTTGTAGAGTATTTTAAGCCAAAAATTTTGATTTGCTGTTAGTGCGGCCGGGGCGGGTGGGTGCTGAGCAGCCCAAAAACCTCAAATATCCGCAAACGCATGCGCGCATGTAATCAATATGCTGGCATAGCAGTGGTAGAAGCAGAAAAATTACATATACACAAAAGAAGAGATTAAAAAAAAAAATCGCGATATTCAAATTGAGTAACAACGCGCATGATGAATTCCGGTTTCGAATTTGCTGATTGAATTTTACGCGCATGCCAAGCAACTTAGTTGCCGATTTGTCACTTCATAGTGGTTTTTGACATTTTTAGGTGAGCCGAAGATTTATTTGCACAAATACATACATTGGGGGTAAATTCCGATACACTAAATTTAGTAGTTGGTGTATATATTTATATCTAAATATGTTGATCTAATGCGAATTGTTGCTGCACAATTAAAGGTATGTTGAGGTTACTGATTTGTTGTATTCACAAACACATATTCATTTTTTGTTATTGTTTTTGTGCCAGGAAGTTTATCAATTGCAGTCTTCAGTACTCACCACAAGTGTTCTCATCTGAACCATCTGAGCAATCCTTCTCGCCGTTACAGAAAAGTCCACGCTCAATGCAATTACCATCACCACAAGCCAAGAAGCCATCTTGACAGAGTGGCTCATCTGTGTGCAGCAAAGGCTTGACACGTCGTTCTTTGTTCTTTGATTTGCAATTTTTCACAGATTCTTTCCAGTCGCAAGTCTGTTTCTCAATATCGAAGTACAGACCAGCCGGGCAACGAATAGCTTGCAGGCCCTGTGGGGGAAAGGAAAAAATTATCAAATCCCGATTAGTTTTGAGAATTCTTGAGGGATGTTTATTTAGTACTAAAGTTTATTTAATAATAATTCTAAAGTGGCCACTCTAACGAAATATTTATGCACTCAATACTAAACTCTCAAATATTCTGATTTGTAGAAGGATGGCAGCCCTGTTTGAAATTTTTTTTGGCGTAAATTGTTTTTAAATTGTGTTTATGTATCTGCGAACTCGTCCACGTAGTTAGTTTGAGAGTTTATCGCGTAAAAAAACGTTTGCATTTCCCTTTAGAAAAAAAGTTGTTTGCATTGTTCCATAAACCATACTAATTTATGGTGGGTTGTTGCGCTAGTGACTGAAGCTTAGTTTTTTGAAAAAAGTAATGGTGTTTTTCTTGGAAAGACCATAAAACTTTATTAAAAAGATTCTCAAGAGACAACTTCCTCTTACACTTCAATATTTACAATGCAATTCTTCTTGACCAAAAAGAATATCAAAAAGAAAATGAATGAATTTCGCTCCCTACTCAGTTAAATTGAAAAAGATGTAAGAGAAACGAGCTAAACAGAGTTTTTGATTACTTAATCTCAGAAGAGGTCGTGAGAAGCACTATGTGTCACTTGCGATATACGTACATATCATCAGAGGGATGGTAAGTCATTGAGCCCTGGGGTAAAGAAAAGCTTTCGGTGAAAATGAAATGAAAAAAATTTATATGCCACTGCGTATAGAGTTATAGGCTTAGGAGAGAACCTCTGGTAGGCATATGTGATTTTTCACCTAAAAGTATTGCAAATTTTCCCGTCTGGAAGCGAATGCAAAAGGGCGTTTATGCAATTCGTACTAGCGTTGTCACGGAAAGACTTCAGAGAGCGATAACTAGTAGTGATGAATGCATGAAATGCATGAAGCAAGGAGCTGAGACAATTTTGGAATATCTCGTTTGCTTATATCCGGCGCATAGTGTACGATTTGGGAGCATCGATGGACAAAGTTGTAAATCTCTCGAGTAGAATAAGACAAAAGTATGGAAATATATGGGTTCGAAAGCTCACATAATGGCCTACAAGGGAAAACTAATGCAAACATATAATTATTATATTCGACCCCCAAAAAATGTCACTGAAAAATTAAAAAATTAATACTTTGCTAGCCAGGTCAAAAAAAGGTTTTGGTTTTATGATCTTTTCTTGTAGATTTTCAACCGAGGAATTCAAATTTGTTGTCAAAAGTTAACTAATTTTAGCCTAAGTAGCCCATTAAATTTTAGTACAATAAAGTTAAGATTTTAATTTGTCAATGTTATTGCGGCTTGTTAACATTTTATTTTTATTTTTCCTAATAAACAATCGTGGTACAAAGCTCAATAAAAATATTAAGATTTTAAGTTGGTAAACATTTTCGTTGATTTTTGGCAATTTATTTTAATGGATTTTTCATCCATACAAATATATTCCAGATATTTTTTTTATGGAAAAAATGCGTCACAATCAGAAAAAAATTAAAATTAAAATTTAACACGATTTTGTAGCAACTTAAAACTTGAACTTTATTTACTACAATTTAATGGGCTATAAACTGCATACTGAAAATCAGATTGAAAAGTATAAAATTTAGATGCAACTTTGCAATTTAAAAAATTAGCATCTAAAAGATTTTTTAGCAAAGTATTAATTTTTTTCGAAAGTTCATTTTCCAATGAAATTTTTCGAAAGTTAAATATAATGATTATATAATGGCTCTATTTTTCCCTTGTAGGCCATTATATCAGCTTTCGAACCGATATTTTCTATAATTTTATATTATCCCTATCGAGATATTTACGATTTTGTCCATCGTACAATATGCGGCGCTGGGGGTTACGTAGTTTGGACGATGTCCGCAAAGGCGGACCCAAGGCGATAAGATTCGATATCTATCTGGTATCGCTAGGGACTGTATACGAAGCAAAGCCAACTCGATTACCCTAAACATGGTTACTGATCAAATTCAACCGTTATTTTGTGATTTTTATTTTTCGACCAAAAATAATTGTTATTTTAGGGTTTTTATTTTTTCGATCAAATTCTACCGCTGTTTTATGAATTTATTTTTCAATCACGAACAAGTATTATTTTTGGGAATTTATGATTAACGGTAAATTTTGACCGAATAGAAATCCAAATTTAACGATTTTTTCATCGGAGAAATAAAAATCAAAGAGTAACGATCGAAAGCAGTGCCAAAAAAATCACAAAATAACGATTAATTTTCCCCGGAAAAATAGAAATCCAAATTTAACAATTTTCTTGAGCGGAAAAATATAAAGTAAAATATAACGATTTTACAATGATCTAAAAATAAAAAATCTTAATCTTTAATACCTGATTGAAAACATTCTATTTTATATTTAATTTCTCGATTTGTAAGAGGATTTTAAACGAAGGAAAGTTTTATTTTAATTTTTCGCTACGATTTTGATGATTTGATGATTTCGCTGGTTCTAGATTTGACCACAATGTCCATCTCCAACGCCAAAAAAAGAAAAAAATAAAGTTTCACCTTTTCACTTATTTAATTTTTGTAATTTTATTTGAACTTATTGATTTTATTTCCTTTCATTTTATTAAATTTCTTTTAATTTAATTTAATTTAAATTAATTAATTTATATTATCTAAATTAAAAGCCAGGTGTTTCGAATATGCTTAGTGATTTTAATTGAATTTAAAGTAATTTAATAAAATTTATTTTATTCAAGTAAATTTTACTTCAATTATTTTAATTTTAATTTTGGTTAATTTAATTTTATTTAATTGAGTTTAATTTAACTTAATTTGTTTTAATTTAGTTTAATGTAATTTATTTGTATTTAATTATGTTTAATTTAATTCACTTTGATTTTATTCTATTTTATTGCAATTAAAATTAAATCCATTTTTAATTTTTCAATCAATTTCAAATTATATTACATTTATTATCATATAATAAATTTTTCATTTCATTTCGTTTCATTTCATTTCCATTCCTACTTGGAAATTATAGCCGTCATCGATTCGCCACTTCTCGCTCGCTATGTTTGAGTTCCGGTCGCTTAAAGAAGAACTTTGCATGTGAAAGCAACAACAAAGATAGCTAGCACGGATAGACGATAGCGAGTTTGGTTGTACCTCATTGAGTTCGTTCGTTTCGCCACTCGCTAACGGCTGGCGAATCGATGACGGCTTATATTATTTTCTTAAGCGCTAAAAATAAAGTGAAACAAGTTATAATGTTTTTTTTTTGTACTTACCGACGATGTACACTGAATGACATCACGACAGTTATCGCCCTCGCCAGCGACTAAACGGAACCATTCACCGGCATCTTTATCTTTACAGAGCTCCTTCTCGAAGGACTCTTCTTTCTTGGGTTCCTCAGTTGTGGCCTGACGTCTCACACGTTCTGCAGAAGCTGAAATTGAATGAGAAAAAATAGTTAAAATAAATAATGATATTAAATACTTAATTCGAATGCAAAATAAATTTAAATAGTTGGCAGAGTTTATTTAGGCAAAGTTGCGTTATTGAGAAAAATTGTTTTTGTTTTGCTTTATAATTTTTGGGAGTATTTGTTCAAGTGAAATTCGGGATATGGTCGATTAATTTGCACTTATCTTCGAAAAGCGAATTGCATCAATAAATCAAATAAATTTTAATAAATATGAATAATAATTTTGAACGCTATAAAATGATTGCCATTATTAAAATATGAAGCAAATAACCGGTTATTGCGCATCGTCAAACGTTTGACAAGCGATAATTCAAAAATCAACAAAAGAAACCGTGAGCATTTCGTGCTTATAAAATACGCCCAATAAAAGACACAAAGCGCTAGTCGGCAATAACAACAAACCGGAAGCAGATGTGTAGGCCAACAAACGCTTGTGCCAATTTTTGGTTTGGTTGTTTTTTTTATATATATGGATACAAGTTTACGTGTGCATGTACATACATATGTGTGTATGCACCACCGCAAGTCATACATAACCATTTTCGGTTAAATTGGTTTAGTACGAGTATTTGAGAAGTAGATTTCAAGTGGATACTTTTATAAAAGCTTCCTGCTTGACATACGTCAAATATTTGCACCAAAGAAAAAAATTGTGGACTTAAAGAGTGTCAAACATACCTGTGTTCGTATGGAAAAGTAGCTTATGTCGAAAGGCTGGCTTTAGTATAAATCGGCATTCGCAGTATACGATTGCGAATGACTCACTGGCGCTGAGCTGTTGTAGAACTTTTGGCAAATAAACGTGCAAGAACTAGTTCCGATACTAGCAAGTCAATATTCTTATTAAGTCTCATCAAAAAATTCCTTGCCGTTTAAAGAGTAAAGGGAATGCCGCATTATACTAAAGCCAGCCTTTCGACATAAGCTACTTTTCCATATGAACACAGATACATACGTGCATATATAGAGGCATATACATATTTTTAATTCAATTTTTCTCTGAATGAATAAGTACTAGGAATGTTAATCCCGGTATTCCGGCCTTTTTAGGGTCCCAAAAAAAATTTCTTGGCAAATAATCTCGGGATTTTCGAGGTTTGTAATTCCCCTTTATATCATTTATATGATATTTTAATAACTAAATATATTTAGTTTAAATTTTAAGTTTTTTATACTTGTTTAAATTCTTGATTTTCAATTTATGATTCAATGAATTTGCTTGTTATCAAAAAGAAAATTTTTGATTATTTAATAAATAAACTTTCAACATATAAAAAACTTAAAATTTAAACTAAATATATTTAGTTATTAAAATATCATACAAATGATTTTTTTAAATAAAAATATATGTATATCCTCAAGAAGGGTGGACCAGTATTGGCTATATTTCTTTTTTTATTCAATAATTTATATTTTTTATAAATGTCTAGCTCATTATACATATAACACCGTGCGATAGTAAATTTTACACAAAAATATCAATATATTCGCGAAACCAGGGCTAAATATAGCAAAATTACGTTTTTAGTTTTTCACTCTTACAGTAATTCAAAATGATTTGAAAAATTCAAAGAAATTTGCTTAGAGAAGAAGTATGGGAATCAAATTAAAGAGGAAATCCTGTAGAGTTTAAACAGATACAAGTTTTTTGTGCAGAAGGACTGGTATGTATTGAAAATGTCCTTTTAAAATTTTATCCTTGAAATTTCGCAATATTTTTGTTTTTGAAAAAATTATATGTTAAGTACTTATGTATATAAACTCGATAACATCCTCGAATTTGGTTCGCCTAACTTTATCAGCTTAAAAAATTACCTATGCGTCCTTGTGAATCCAAAAAATTTTAATTTTTTGAAATTCTGTAGAAATTTCCTCTTGCATTTGGTACCCATATTTGTATTCTACTGCACTGAATTTTCATATCTTTGATATTACAAAGTTTCTTGAAATAAATCCTGACTTCAGAGAGAAAAAGTAAAAACGCCACTTTATATTAAGAAGTAGGTTTAAAATCCATTTATTTATTATTTATTTCCTGATAGGAGACTTCTCAAACAATATAGAAGCAACTTTTTCGATTTAAGTTGTTGAAAAGTAATGAATATCTTAATCCCGGGACTTATCCCGGTATCCTGGGATTTTCATAACGACATCCCGAAAATCCCGTGATCGGAAAAGCTGAAAAATTAACATCCCTAATGAGTACATACATACATATGTACATTAGAGTGTCTTATTAAAAAAAGTTGCGGTTTTTCCACTGGAATAAAAAAAAATATTATATTTTAAGACTTCCGTCAAAATATATCGGAAACAATTAAAATTTACGCGAGCTGCAGCGATTTGGAAATGCCTGTAAAATCTCATTATTTTGATTCCAGATTATGCAGAACTTCTAAGCTTAAACTCTTCTATAATTTGAAGTGATTTTTAAAAATCTTTTATTTATAAAAAGCGCGATTTTTAGAGATATTTTTTGGAATGGTTCCAGCTCACGTATGTAACTCTCAATATTTTTATGAAATATTTCGGCAGCAATTTCAAAATGGAATAGATTTTATAATTCTGATGAAAACAATAGTACAAAATTTTTATTTATTTTTTTTGTATGGCGAGTGTTGCACCCTTATGTACACATGTACTTGTTGTGTTTTAAAACACGTGTGCTTTTGGCACATAACACCCATTAGTGCCAGTCGCCTTTGTAGACTATTTGTTGGGCGGTCAAAATATATAGAAACTGGTGCAGCCGGTTGTTGATCATTGAGGGCTTTGCTTGTTGATGCTGAGCTAAATTTATGACTTAAATTATAATGAACATGGCACGAAATGGTACCAGTTTAAGTGACAGCCGTAAAAATGGCTAAGAAATAGCAAAACGAGTTACCAACAGTAGCAACAAAGTGGCAAAGGAGTTGTAAAGTAAATTAAGTTCTGATTGCTTTGTCGTTTGTAAGCAAAAGTTAATTAGATCTGAACAGAGTAAAGTGTGAAATAAGCAAAGGTTATTATTTGCTAATATGTATATAGAAGACATTAAAAAGAACGAAACTTTGAGTTACGAAAACAAGCAAAGAACTGGCGTGGGGAATTTCAAAATGAGCGGGTAATTTTTAGATAGACAGAAAAATAATGGCGCAAGTCCTACGTAATGATCTGATTGAAGATTTCAATAGTAATATGGATAGCTACAGCACTTAACACGAATATTGTGAGATAACAGCTAGATCATTAGGCACAAAAGAAGGACACAGCGCGTGAAAAAATTTAGACAACAAGCACGAACAACAATCTTTCGCGTGTGTGGCGATTTGATAGCTGAATTGCGCACGAAAAGGATCAGCAGAGTTTTCTCGACAGATCTTCAAATTGAAAAATCTATGCATCTCGACGAGCTTTCTCGAGAATGAAATTTCCTGTAGTATATCGAGCGCTTATATTCAATAGAAGCTATGTGCAAATTTCAGAGAAATGAGATTCTAATATAAAAATCCACCTAAGACCTAGCTGTCATCGACGAGGTTGATGATGACCTTGTATATCGCTTACTAGAAGAATTTACTATTGAATTGCATAGTTGAAATTAATATTAGTGATGACAGTCCCAGATGCCCTCGATATGTAGTAAAAGAATGTGTCACATCCTTGCTAACGGATGTAACGCTACGTTGATCTAAGTGTAAAGGGCAGCAAAGCCTTCTCCGTCCTTTCACTTGACACTAAAACTTTTTGTCGACTTCGACCCATATCAAACATGGCAAAAAGCCACGAAATCTATGGAACTGAAATGTCCGAAAAGGCTTGATCCTAAATAAATATATCGTCAAGAGACGTTCTTTTTGGCATCAAGAGACGAACTAGGATGCCAAATGGATTGCAGCTATTGCTCTTGCTGTCCGACTATAACGATCAGAGCCACATACTCAGCTGAATTCAGAAAAAACAAACACCTGCGCGGCTGGCATCACAATACCCAACAATTATTCGCGTGCAACAACAACTCGACCACCTTGCCACCGGAAGCACTATAGACTGCGTCCATGGATAAATCACACTTGCTTGGCCACCAACAACTAGAAAGATCTGTCAGCATTTATTTCATGCACCTTTAAATTTAACTTCTATGGTTGAATTACGAGTTGAGTGTTATGAAGACACTACACTTTATTCTCACAAACAACATTAACACGAATTAAAAACTAATTTTATGATAGGTAACCATTTAATATTGACTTCATAAGTAGTGATTTCTGACTCTTATTTACTGGTCTAGATTAGCATCTACAGTTTTATCCAGGAAATCTAATTGATTAATAAAATCAGTTCCTGGAGAATTCGTCAGCAATCTATCTTTTTTTTAGATAGCAAATTTCGCTCGTAGAGCACTACAATTATCTAATTGCTTTGCCTTTAGGCTGGTGGAGGATAGACACCTTTTATCCACAACCCTAAAATCCAATTTCGATTTTATTCAAGTAAATTAAGCTTTGGTTTCCTAGTCCTCTGTTGAAGAGTTTTGGGTGGAATAGAATTAGGAGCCTAATGCAGATGCCGAACAATTTTATATTAATTCAGCGCGTAACGAAACTGTGTTTTCACTCTTTATGCTCAACTAGATTAGAAATTTTTCTATATTTGTCCATTTTTACTGACTACTCATACTACTTTCATAAGAAGTGCACTGAGAACTCAAATTTAAAACTAACTTTCAAATAAAACCTAAAAAAAAAAAACATCTTGATTTCAATAAAGAGTTGAATAAATTTGTACAAAAGCAATTCCACCGGTTTCTTAGTAGAAGCTTTATTTTAATACCAGTTCACTTTTAGATTAAATCATAGTTTATTGCATGAGGCGAATTTGGTTTGCAACTAACCAAGTAAAAAAAAAAATAATGCAAAAATGATAAAACCTAAATATACGCTCGATGTCACATAAAAATAAAAGTTGTTTCACTGCAACACCAAAACGACCTTTCACTATTAAAATAAGAAAAAAAAAATAACAACAAACAACCACAAACACCTAAAGCATAAAAATAACAACAAAAGCAAACAATTTTAATCAGCACAGTCGTCAAGGTTGACTAGAGTGAGTAACCAAACGAAGCGATGGCGATGCTAAATGTCAAGCTTATTAAAAGGGGAATGCAGAAAATTAAGAAGGAGAGTGGAGAGCAAAGTGCGCATTTAGTTGCATAGTGTGAACAATGCATATAAGTAGGTAGGTAGTTGCCTTTACATATGAATGGGCAGCAAAGCGCAGAGGAGCTGCAAGAAATGTGAAATGTTTGCACAGAGTTTCCATATAGTACATACATAAGTATGTAATTACAACACGTGTTATAATACTAAGTGCACCACATATTGAGAGGTTTTAAAATTTTTTTGTTGTTATTTCATTTTAGTTATTTTTTTATAAAAATATGGTTTATGCTTTAACAAAAAAAAGTTTCAAGATTAAAAAAATTTTACAAAATATAAAAATATAAAGATTTTGAGTATGCGGTTTTTTTTAGCTCATTCAATTTTAGTACAATGAAGCGTCGAAGTAGCTAAGACTTACCGTTGATGTGTGGCAATTTTTTTTGTTGAAGGTGTTGCCAATTTTTTTCCATATAAAAAAAATGTGAAATACTCGAACAACATACACAACACCGTCAGCAAAAAAAATGTAAAAAATCAACGCTAAGTCCTAGCTACTGCAAAATTGCACCTTGTTTTACTAAATATGTATGGAGTACAAAACCGCATACCCAAAATTTTAATAAAAAATCTAATTAGAACACTCTAAATTTTTGCGAAAGTTTGTTGATTTATTTTTAAATATTGCACACAGTTTGAATTTTATAAAAAAAAATAATTAAAATAAATTGTTAAAACTGGTCAATATGTGGTGAGCTTATATTTATGACACGGGGTGTATATACAATATGTATAAGAACATAATTGTTGAGTTGCAAGGTTAATTTTGAAGGGTGAGCCAGGGAGTCCATATCTGAGCCCTTGGAATTTTCAGAAATACTGATTACGAAAATTTATTCAGTTAAGTTTGCGTTGTAACAGCCAATGAGAGCAAAAAAGAGTTGCAGATGAAAATCATTTACTTGGTAGATACCTTGTACGAATTTCATTTATAAAAAAAAATTAAAAAAAAAGACAAAATTAAATCAAAACTAAAATTAAAGTTAAATTTGAGTAAAATTTCAATCTAAAAATTGCACTTAGCCGGCTGTAAAAATAAAAAAACTTGTTTTTAGCTTATCCGCCAACTCTTTGAACATTGGCGCACATACAAGTACGAATGCATTTGTGAGTTTGCGTGCACTCTCGTTTAAGTGCAAGCGCACTTGAGTAACCAAATGGTTCCGGTATCTTGCATTGCCATACAATTTTTTCTGGCAGTACTTATGTGTATGTAAATTTTTTGTAAATGATTATCCACAAAATAGTGCAACTTATATACATGGATATGAATGTATAAGTTTGCGTCTGTGCTTTTGAAAAGTGGGTGAAGTATGACAAATGACGATGAAAAACGCATTTTACATTTACGACGGAAAATGTTGCAAACTGAGGAAAACGCGTGCCATAATGCTGTATTTATAATGCCATTAACGTTGAAAATAGAGTTATAGTAAATATGCTTAAAAATGAAATATTATGTGCACATCTAAAATGGAGAAAGTTGGATTACAAAAATTATGCAAGCGATGTGCCAGCCAAATGATTTGTAGAAAATGTGTGCAAAAATGAGGCTGAGGCAAAAGGTTTTGCGATGTTTGTCGAAAAAAAAATTCAATTTTCTTTTTAATTTTAATAAATGCTAGCTACCATAAGTGAATCATTCATTTGAAATCTACGTTAGTCTTAAAAAAAAAAACACACAAATTTATTTTATGAACAAAAGCTCCGGCTTCAGCTTTATTTAAAAATTACAACATTTTCGTTACCAGCGAGAATAAACCTGTAAGGCATACCCTTTTCAGGTTATTAAGTCCAAATAAAACCAAATTTTGCTAACTTTACCCTAAATCTACCGAAAAAATTAAAAAATGAATAAAACAAAACGAAAAAGGCTAAGTTTGAATTTTTTTTGATAAAAGTTTTTGATTTATCAGGAACCAAATGGACATTTTTCGATGAAAATTTTTTGCGTCTGATTAAAATTTTTGTGAATTAAAATTTTTTTACTTTTATTTTCTCAAACAAAATTTGGTTGAAACAAGATAGTTCATAATCCCAACTTCTTAAATTTCACATAATTTTTCGGAAAACATATAGGTTGTTCACACTTGCTTGGTTATCAGGTTATCTGGTTAAAAATTATTATTCTGTAGTGTATTTTATCGTTGTAAACTGAATAACAAATATAACCACATAAGCAGATAACCTCATAACAAAGCATGTGTGAACAACCTAATACTGAATTTGGTTCCGACAAAATTAAAATTGAATAACTCGAGAGCTCAAAATTCTAAATTAAAATATATATATATATATATATATAAAGTTCTTTATGTAAAGTTTGGAGTTACTAGTCGATCATTGACAAAATTTCGCTATTTTTGTACAAAGTTTAACCTGAAAAACTCTAAAAAATTCTCAAAAATTAAAACAAAAATTTCAGTTGCACTTAGATTTATTAGAGACCAAATAACCATACATTGTTTGATGATTTTTTTGTTTTACCATATTCTTTTCAAACAATGTAAAGTAAAAAAATGTGAATTCATAACTAAACTGCCAAAGCTTCACACATTTTTCTTGAAAAAGTTGTTAAATTTAAATAACTTGAAAATTCGAAATAAAAAATATTTAAGTTCTGCAAAAGTTGCGAAAGTTTCTAGATTGTTAAGGGCATTCAGCTATGAATTCGCATAACCCTTAGACATTTACGATACCAAAAACAATTCGGATCTAGAAAATTCATGCTAAGAACTCAAACTTAGAATATCTACCTATTTTAAAATCGTATAAGTTTTTGTATGCGGATACAACAACAATGTTTAAAATTTTAAGCAAGCATGAGTACCCGGTCACAGGTTAAAAAAAAATAATATTTTCAAATCAAAATCAAACTTGTAATATTTTTGATATACATTCTTTGAAAAAATTGATATTTTCAAAACAAGATTACAAATTTAAAAATTTTGAGTAAAAATTTTATAAAAAATTCTATAAAACGAAAAATAATAAAATTTTTTTATTTATATGTTTTGATTAATTAGAGGCTAGTTAACATATTTGATGAAAAAATTAAAGATGTATTAAATATTTTTATTTTATTTTTTAATTATTTTTTTTTTTAATTTTTTCCCATTTTTTAATAACAAAAATTTTAATACCCATAATTGTTAATAAGTTAAAAGTAACAAAAACATAAAAATGTAAATTCATATTAGAAATTCTCACTTCACTCGATCCCGCAAGCGATAAACGTGAATAACTGGAAAGCCGAATTTTTCTAAATTACATTTTAAAGTTCAGCAAAGGTTTCGATGTTTTCAAGGTTAGTCTGGGTTGATTTCCCATTATATTTCTGTACGTTTAAAGCTTCGGACGGAACCGATTTTGAGCCAACAAATGCAAATTGGGCGACGTTCCTTGAAGTTTTTTGGAAAATATTTTTATGCTAAAATATTCCAACAAGAACATTGTGTAATGCTTTGCTGGTCATAAAAAATATAATTTCTAACCGATGCATTTTTTTAGGAAATGTAGATTTTTTAGTTTTGCGCTTTGAAGAAAAAACGCAATTTTTTTAGTTTTTTGTTAAACAAATATTTATTTTCTTGCTTTTAGCTTCGCTCGTATGCTTCAATATTTTATATTTTTTTTTAGGAAAATTTTAATTTTTGTTTTCGCCATTAATAAAAAATGTCGGCTATTCTGAGTCGCTTCTAACCGCGATCTGCCAAAAAAATCAAGGCATAAAACTTACAGTAGCAAAACCAAAAATCCCAGTGTTAAAATTGATAAAAACTCTAGAAATTTCAATGTTTTCCATACTGAAGAAAAAACCGTTATTATTTTATTAAAAATGTACTCAAAATCGATAGCATCCAACGTAGGATATGAACCTCTGTCATATTTTGCCTTTTTACACTTAGCTAGTTTTTCCGACATTTAATATGTTATCACTTTTATTTTTTATCAAAATTTTTTTTTCCACACTCACCTGTTGCAGCAGCCACAGCTAAAATGGCAAAAACTACTAAAAGTTTTGCCATTGTGTATTTATTTTCGTTTTATTTTGCGCGTTGTGTCTTTTTACTTGCGCTGAAGTTTTTTTAAAACACCAGCGATGATCACCGCAGCAACTAACTACGAACGGTATTCACGTTTCAACGCAAGAAATTGCAATAACTCGAAGCACACACAAACTTTCAGTGTTAAATGTTTAAGTGGGGCTCACGACGACGACGACAACGACGATGGCGACGAGCGAGCAATATAGTCTCACTACTAAATTATATATTACTTCAGTAGTAGAAGAAGCAGAGAGATCGTTTTAGTACAAAGCGCACTATAGCAAATTTGTCCTACCGATCACTAGCAGAGTTCCACTTACACTGCGCCAGCGCAACACCACAAAGATCGCAGCAACTGCCGCGAACAAGTAAATAAAGTGAGCAACCAACGTTCGAACGAGAAATGCTTAAACGCACGCACACACACGAACAGCGATAAAGACTAGCATACCCCGCCAGGAGCGGAGCAAAAAGGTGGCTTTAAATATAACCAAATGATTGTAGTGTGGTGTGGTGTGGTGTGATGTACTATGCTGGTGTGTGGTGTCAACCTTCGAAATCACTGACGTTCACTACTTTTATTACAGAAAAATTAAATGCATATGCCACTCTACAAACAATGCAACAACACAGACACTTTATAGACACAATCGTCGACAGCAGTGGTGAATACGTTGAACTCTTTTGCTTTTAGGGGGCTAGAGCGATTTTTATATTTGAAGCTTTTAACTGCTCTTCACCATGCCCACTTGCAGGGGAATTTGTAGTTAATTAAGTTCCACACTTTTTCTACCACAATTCGTTATGCACTTTCAACACACTGTTGTATGCCGCACTCTCAATGACGATCGTGTATTTCTCGCATTATTTAAATTTTTTTGAATTGTGGAAAAAAATTCCTTTCAACTAAATTCAAAGCGTTTTTTTTTAATAAATTTGCAATAAAAAGCGTTCGTCGCGAATATTCTATAAAAATCTGTACGTGTCGCGGCGTGCCAGGCTAAGAGAGTGTCTGACACAACAACACGCTTTTATAGTCAAACGCTTTTGGTATGCAGTCTGGTTGAAAATGGGCTGAGCAGCGCGCGTCTATGTTGAGTTTCTCTTGACATGGGTGTTGGCAAATAAATTTTTTAGTCGCGTGGTAGGGGAAATGTGGGCCCATAGCGCGTTGGTGTCGCTTGCTGAAGGTTTGCTGGCTTGGCAAGAGAGGTGGGTTTTTTTGGTGCGCATACATAACCACTACACGCTTGGGTGTGAGGCGAATTTAATGTGGATTAGCTATTGGAAATGGCTTTCTGGTTATACCCCAAATGAAGTGATATAAAGTTTTAAGTACATTTTTGGGTAGAAGCTGCGTTTTTATTGCAGTAATTTAAAAAGGAATGCCGCGATGGGGGCTAAGTATTATACAACCGCTCGTAATTTTTAAGGGACACACAAGTTTTCGTCCTAGCGAAATATTAAGAAGAAATAACACACATGTTTAAATGAATATTTTTTACAAGTTCTGCGTGAAAATTTTCAATTTAGTAAAAGAAGAATTTGTATATGGTCAAAAAAGTAGACATCTCTACCATGCTAATTTCATTTTAAAATAACATACTAACTGTATCAGCGTAAAGTTACACACAGAAAGTATTAATACAGCTGGTTTAAAATGGTTCTTCCAAGTTAATTTAATGCAATATGTAGCAAACAAGATTCGTCTGGCTTCACTTATAATGCAAAAAACAACATTTCTTTCTATTTCACTTTTCTTGCTTTTATGCAATCACATTCCAAACAAAAGACTTAAGCGCGAAACTTTATCGACCATAAACACCTTCTTTATTCAAATTTGCCATTGAATAATTTATTAAAAGAAAAGAAAGATTATATAACAAGATAAGAAATTAACACCACTAAACCAGTAAATATAATGAGATTTTTTTTTTAGATTATAATTAAAAACTGGTAGTATAAGTTGGTACTATCTAAGTAAATGAAAAAAGAGAGTTTTTAGAACGTGTCTTACCAAAATCAACACATACATACACAGTTATTTATTCTAAGCAATAATAATTTTTGATACATTTGCACTCATCAAACATTTACTTGTGACCTAGCTTTTGCTAGCGGCCCTACTCGCGTGAAGTTCATTTCAACGTTACGATTTCGAATGTAACTAAAAAGAAAAAAGATATTACATATATCACCGAAAATAAATAAATTTACAAAAAAGTAGCTTATTTTCTCGAAATTCCAGACCATGATCAATGTGTAAAACTTCAACGAAATACTTTATTTTATACGATATATACACAAGGACGGCCCAAAAAAAGTAAAGTCGGAATTTTAATGTTTTCACCCCTGCGATTATTCTAATACCAAACAGTTTATAAAACAATTTTTGAATATTAAACATCGCCAAAAAAATGCAATGGAGGGAGGGGGAACCCATAAAAATCGTTGGTATAAAAAGAGTTAAACAAACTATTAGGTATTGTTATTGGAAACCTCCAGAATATAAACTGAGTTTTCCGATCGAAAAAGATTAATTTTCAAGTATTCTATACCATTTATACGAAAAATGTTTTTTCCCCCATATAAAATACACGGAAAACGGCTCAAGCTTTGAACGACCTTTAAATTTTTGTTAATTTTAAAATAAAAAACCGTGGTATATTTTTTTTCTTTGATATAGAAAAATCCTATGGAGTGAGAGCATTAAAATTCCGGCTTAAATTTTTCTTGGACCAGTTAAATTATTTTTTAGGTGGCAATCCTTTTCGAAAATGTATCTGGATAAAGGCACATGTCAAATAAATTTGTTTAATAATTATAATAATATATTGATTCAAATTTGGGAAAAATTGAAAATCTTTTCCGTAACAAGAATTTTTAAGCAAAAAAACAAAACTGACTAATTTCTTCATGATCCAATGATCAGATTTATCCAAATTAGTATGGAACCACCGTTAGTAGGTACCGACTTTCCTTTAAAAAAATAATTCTATAAATCGACTAACGTGGTCCAAAGTTATGAGGTAACATGCATAAAAAAGTACTTCTACGAATTGATAACTTCCTCATTTTTTAGTAAATGTATATGAGCATTAAATTTGATTTTTTGAACAGGTGGCACCTTCTTCAAAACTGTTCAATTCATATTGTATTACGAGTATTTTATTGCATCCAATTTTAATTAAAAACAAGTGGCAACGCTCTTCAAAACATTTTTGCCACAAATATTTTTTGAACTTGTTTCGTTTAATATTCATATTGTTAAAGTTTATAGTATGAGTGCAGAATAACTACATTTTCCCTACTTTGAACTTCAATAACGCCAGTAATTATTATTTCCCCAAAAAAAAAATTATACTGTTATGATCAGTACTAAGACCCCTATCGATAATGGGCGATTCCACCATCACAAGTTGGACATTTGTGCAGAAAAAAATTGTCTTTCTTGTTTAAATTTAAGTATAAAGTACAGAACAATTCTACATCATTATATAAATAGGCAATCATGTTTCCTTTACACCCCTTTTACGGCTAAACTATACTTCTAAGGTATAAACAATTATATATCATTAGAAAGGTAGTTTGATGCTGATGTGCAGGCAATTTTTCAAATTTCAAATTAGTTTAAAATAGAGCGAAAAAATCAATTCAAAAGTCACACCAATACCAATGCCATACATGTACATGGTTGGGGCGGAAATGCCTCCTAAATGTATGCTTTTATATTGATACTGAATTACAGAAACGTGCTAAGCAGCAGTTTAGGAATAAGATGTATGTATGTATGTATGTACATGAACAGATTAGACTCAAACGAGGAAGAAGGTATGGAGTTGAGTATGGAGAAGAAGAAAGGATAAAGCAAAGATTAACAGAAGTAAGAGAAACCGAAACATGAAGACAAAGAGAAAGGTAAATTTAAATTCTTCATAGTATACATATGTAATCGCAAAGATGTGGGTGAATATGTAGATGGAGAAAAGAATGAAGATAAAGATCTGGTTAAAAGTTAAGGAAATGATAAATATAAAAATTAAAAGATAAAGATATAGAAAATAATATATGTAGATAAAGGTAGAGACAAAGACAGAAAAAGAAAGAGATACAATTGAAGAATGACATGTTAAGTTATTTTATGTTATGTTATGTTGTGTTATGTTATGTTATGTTATGTTGTGTTATGTTATGTTGAGTTGTTTTATGTGGTGTTGTTATGTTATTTTATGTTATATTCTGCTATGTTGTTCAACGCATTTCACCTCAATTCAGTTCAATTAACTCAACCCGGCTCAACTCAGCCCACCTCAGCTCCCCTTATTTTAAAAGGTTGAATTTCAACCGCTGGGCGAACACTAGTTTTAATAAAGCTACACCTAATTAATTATAAGAGTTATTACAAAATACGAAAAATATTCCAGCTTACTTTTATATGGGCAAAATCTGATTTATTTCTTCTGTCACGGGTGGAACAAGAAAAAAGAACCCGCTTTTTGGAGCAGATATATTTTACGGGAACTTTGCAAATTTATTTCACTTTTCTGTGTGAACTTGATGTCTTATAATAAAAAATAGAACCAGGAACACAAACAAAGCAAAACCTATAAAAAATGATGGCTTTATTATACAAAAAATCCGAAATTCCTCTGTAACGGGTGGGACAACGTTTGTCACGGGAAGGACACGTACAAATTTTGATAAGAAAAGGAACCTTTAGTGTGGTGCATATATAAAGATTAGTTATTAAAAAATATAAGAAGCGAAGTAGAGGTTAAATTCACTCACGTTTTATCTTAGGATTATGCCTTTTATATAGAAGAAAATGCTTAGCACCGTCAGCAAAAAAAAAATTATTAAAAATGAACGCGATTTTCTAACGTTTTGAAATTTTCACTTAAATTTAATGTACTACAAAACTGCATACCTAAAAATTCTAAACAAACATTTTAAAATTTTTGGGTTTAATTATTAAAGCTTGTTGAATTTTTATAATTTTTGTAAGAAGTTTGAAATGTGGACTTATGTGGTTCTGGTTAGGTAATGTGCTAGACATTTATAAAAAAAAATCTATAAACATTATATTAACAAAATAAAAAATCAAAACTGGTCAAAATGTAACTTCACTTAATTAGCTGACCACAAGAGTATATAGATAATGGACGAGTCCGCGCAACTGCCCTCCTCCCCTACGTCCACATCAACTAACAAATGAAGCTTATCAGCCCCGTAAACCTACCTCTGACAACTGTCCGACACATAGCTGTCACGGGTGGGACATGCTTCTCTGTTGAATTATTCTTATCTAACAACGTGGAAACGACAATGCAATTGTGGTAAATATTTGCAATGAATTTCTAACATTATGTAACAAACACGAAACACAACCTCAACTTCTGTAATTAAATATAACAACTTTTACCTTTTTCTTGTCACGGGTGGGACAAGACCAAGACTGCTTAATTATAACTCATAATATAGATTAAGGATTCACAAAATTTAATATATAACAAGCAAAAAAATTTAATAAAAATTCATGTAAAGTCTTAATTTGCTATTTTTTGGTTGATTGAAGATTTTTACACTTATCCAGACGTTTGTTAGTTTTATAAAGAAAATAATTTTCGCACTGAGGTCCACTTTCCCATGGAACCTCCCTAATCTAACCGTTTAAATTTAATTACACTTTAAACAGCTGGCAACTCCTTAAACATATTTTCGTATTTAAGCTTTTTTAACAATTTTTATATCATATGCATGCAGTACTATTGTATGTAATGTATGTAGTTTGCGTTTAAACAGGTTGCAACCTTCTATAAAAATATCTTAAAAACAAATATTTCATGCCCCTCTTTATATTGGCGCCCATCATGTAACATTTTATTCAACTTATTCATTAAATTGAATTTGACTTTTATAAATGTGGCAACCCCTTTCAAGAATATTTTCAAAGCATCTCCTTCTTAAATAAAGCTTTCACAAAATCATCACCAATAGTAGATCCTGAT